TTTAGCTAGTGAGGGTTTGAATATAGTGAAGGTTGACAAGTGTCAACGACTCTTTGTGGACTAATCGTCTAGGAGTAGGTGTTCCACGTCATAAACAATCACATATATGGCCACTTTGCTATGGTCTGAAAGCTACTGCGGTTAAGATTATCAGTGATAGGTGTGCTGTTGCCTCGGCAGCGCTTACACCATTTCTATGTGAGCGTCCTACCACTGTCTTTGTTTGGAGTACTATTTTTGTGTAAATATCGGTGAGATCTACTCCGACTCCTGTCAATGTCTCACCTGATTGAGTAGCTGTGCCATAATAAGGCACGCTGGTTGCCAAGTGGTAATTTCTTTCAACCTATTGAGGTCGGAAGCTCTGGTTTGACTGGAGGCGTCATTTGGTGCGTTTAACACCTTCTAATTTGGTTCTTGCCTTAGGGTTATGTTCGTCCTCTGCGTCTCTACTGCTCACAGCCGAATATCTTGCCAGAATCGAAGTTTGCTTGGGAACCCTTCTCTGTTCCACCTACTCCTCCCTCTCTGTCTCTCGTTTCACCAGGCTGTCTGATTGCAGACTCTGGGAAATTAAAGGAATTGGATCGTTTGCTGGCAAAACTTAAGCCGGAAGGTCACCGTGTGCTTTTATACTCGCAGATGACGAAGATGATCGACCTGCTAGAGGTGGGTCTCTTTGTGTTTGTCATCCTTGGAAAGTCACATTGAGGTATTCAACTAAGAAGGTCTTTCGGAGAATCTGAATTAACGATATTTTGTGATTAAATCTGGGAATTTTATAAAATATTTTATCGTGGATACATCTTTGATATAAGTTTCATATGCGTCCACCTGCGCCACAGACACGGAGGCTGTGTTATGGGAGATTGAAATGCCTTTTGGTAGCTCAAAGTTATGCCGCTTCGCTTTGCAGGAGTTGATGCTTTACCGTGGTTACGCCTACCTCCGTCTCGACGGTTCATCCCGACTTTCTGACCGTCGAGATATGGTGGCACAGTGGCAGACGGACTCCCGATGGTTTGTCTTCCTCCTCTCCACTCGTGCTGGAGGTCTGGGCATCAACCTTACTGCCGCAGATACTGTGATCTTCTATGATTCTGATTGGAATCCCACTGTCGATCAGCAAGCCATGGATAGAGCCCATCGTCTGGGACAACTAAAGCCGGTTCGCGTGTTTTTTCTTATCTACCCGTCTGTGCCTGTTAGTTTTAATGTTTCATCGTTAAGCACTTCTTAATCAACGATTTATTCCAGACAC